TAACTAACTAACTAACTAACTACTTCTAACATTCCATGTACCAAATTTCATGTCCAGTTTCTTTAGCTTAGGTCGTTTACCCAAAAGATCCATCCAGGTCCAAGGCTTTGTGTGCATTTTCATAACAAAGTTATTTTTTACAGTTAGGAGTTGTTAGCCCCACGCCCAACCCCCATGCTGGAGGACCACCTCTTGTCGGCTATCAGCAACTGCTTATTCAATATATTTGCAGCTTCAATCCATATGTGGAGGGTGTCTCCTCCATCTGCAAACTGAGGACGCCATGCCATGGTGACAAGGGACCCACCTAACATGGGGATCTTCCAGCTGCTACTACTACCAAATGAAGAAAGTTTTAATAAAATTTAATACTAATAAGAAAAGAACAAATAATATAACAACTGGTGGGGTGTAGTCAAATCAATGAGAACTCACTGCAGGTTAACAAACATAAACCAGTTCTGGTCAGAACACCAATTAAACAGTTACAAGATTAGAGAACATTTTTGTAACAGGGGGCTCTATAAGGGAGCAGTTACCCAAGCCACGCTGGTAGTGACTCCGTGGCCTGTTGTCCGCAAGCGAACTATACCAGCCAGTAGTGACTCAGTACAGAAAAACACATGAAACTTTCACACAAAGAAAAAGTATCTCACACAAAACAGTAGTGCCTAACAAATACCACTTGTGACAACACAGCGTCATAAAGAAACAGTCTTGGCTTCTAGCAGGCATATTGTCTCTGTGGAACCAAACCACAGGTTCACCTCATACCTGGCAGTAACAAACACACAAAAGAACAGTATAAACCATGGGTCAACAAACCACACTCACATAGCCTACGTTCCACAAAGCCCACTTCACCATATACAAAATAGGCTTGCCTTAAATACAGGATATCAGTGGTATCAGTATGCTATATAGACAGAATTTTTAGGCTAAAACTGGATGTGCAAAGACATGGAAGAATTCCAATTCTGTTCAAGCAGCTGCACAAGATGCTCTTCAGCCCTGAAAAAAAAATTATGTTTCATGATGTATCTGCTGAGGTGAAAATGAGCTTTATCAGACATTATAAATAAATTTAATGCATCTGCAACTTTATCCAAAATTTTCAAAAGCAGAAACTGAGATGCGAAATTATATCCTCTTGAGTAATCCTAGTTAGTTAGTTATTGGAGAGGGTGGGTTTCCCCATGCACTGAGACCTGTATTGGTCCATTGTGCTTCCCTCTATGATTTCTACCAGTCTCTATATCCTACCGGTACTGGTGCTTACCATCAGTCCCGCCCAGCCAGCGAGACCGGCTCTACNTTAATTTGGCTCAGTGACCTCCTTTGGAGATATGAGGTTCTTTCACGTGCCGTAAAGCTATGACACGGGACCCACAGCTTAAAGTCCCTCCCGGAGGACTTGTTCCCTGAATTTTTCCGCCCTTAAAAATTCGACGACCTCCGCTGGGTATTTGAACACGCGTACTACGAGTCATGAGGTGGGAATGTTACCTCTAGACTACAGAGGCCGCTTTGAGTAATTCTAACTTTGTGAAGTGTTTTGCAGTATGCAAAACGAATGTGCACATTTCATGACATGAACACAAAAATCATTCACCTTCTTCAAGGCTGACTAAAAATTCTGTCCATTTGTGACAGCAGATGACAAAAAAATTTCAGCAGCAAATTAGCATCATTTCACAGGCTAGTTCATCAATTACTAAAACTGTGTACATTTATGAGTAGTTCTGTGCACATGCAACTTCTCTTTCTACAGCAGAACATTTATACATTCAATGTGGGTGGCAGAGCATGTAGAAAAATATTATAAAGTCTGTACATTTCTGGGAATGGTAATTAATATTTAATTCCAAATGAGATTTTAACTTTTTTATTTATTGTTAAGCATTATAATATGATTACAAAAAATCCAAGTATGTTAGAAACTTACTGTACTCTTCAAATACATGCACTACACAATTTGCTTCTGAACAGGTTAAAAGCTGTATTCCATATTTATCTCCTTCTTCTGCTTTTCCTTGTCCTGGAATCAAAAGTATGTATCCTGATTAGCAGTCCAAGCATTAATGTATGCTCACAGTCATACAAACGCCATTTTAAATACCGGGAAGCTGTATTCTATTAACGGAGATGATACTACATACATAACTATTAACTTTTCTAGTTCATACAGTCTTATATCACTGTGAGATGTCAGTAATAAGTGCTGAATAAAGGACTTCAGATATTGATATATGTTATTTACTGAGCTATAAGTATGAATACAGTAGCCAATCCATGTTCAAGACCTTATTATAAAGGTCTCTTCACTTCAATTGGCAAAACGGAAATTACACCTTGAACTGAATAAATTTCCATACAGGCAAACAATATAGGTCATGACAGTAAAATGTGAGTATGCAGTTTCAGAACACAAATAGTGAAAAACATATTCTCTTTTGTTTTACAAAAAATGATGTATAAGGTTTTAAAACAAGAAGTTCTGGGAAGAACTAAATGTGTAATTTTCTTTCACTGTAATTTGGGTATTTCAAACAAAAAGTAGAAAGAAAGATTTAGTATGTATGTATAATGACGTCAAAAAACAATACAATTTAAGAGGTTGTGGTGTTGGTATTACAAATGGAAGGGAATTATGAAGTATACTGTTGGATGGCCTCAGAATGAAACACATATGAAGCTTTATGATGATTGGTCTAGGCATTCAAATAATATTAAGGTTATTTACGTCAGCAATTTCAGAGGCTATAATGTTGGTGCTACTGATGGGCGGGATTTATGAAGTATGGCTTGAGAAAGTTTAAGAATGTTACAAGTTACCGTCTTCAAAGTAAATAAGATCCTTCAAAGTAGTCCCCTTGTACATCTATATAGTGCTGCATGTGTTCCAGTCACACCTGGAAGCATGTCTGAAAATTATTTTTCAAAACTCTTTCAGCTGTTCTCTCATGTCTTTCTGGAAATCCCCAGTGGATGGAAAATGTGTTCATTTCAGTGAACATTTTAACTTAGGAAAGAGTAAAAATTTCATGGAGCAAGATATGGAGTGAGGGATGTACAAAAACTTGTTTTTTGGCCAGAAACTGCCAAATCAATGGTGCAACGGGGCATTGTGCTGGCGTAAAATCCAACTAGTCTCCCACAATTCCATGCTCTGTCTTTGGATTCTTTCTTGAAATTTCAACAACAGCTCAACGTAATACTTCTGATTTACTCTTTGACCAGCCACAATTCCTATAACACTGAAGATAATAAGAATAACCGTCCTGATTTTGAATTCTGACATTCCTTTGGTCTTCAGAAATGAGTTGATTTCCATTGCACTAACTGCCATTTGGCTTCTGGGTCTCACTGAAACAGCTAAGTTTCATCATAGGTGACCATGCTGCTCAAAAAGTCTGATTCTTTTTTTATTTTTTCCAAAATGTCAACACAAATTTCTTCTGTTTCAATTTACCGTATGTCGAAAAAGTATCCGACTTTATTTTTTCCCGCTGTAAGTAAGGGCCAAAGGGGTGGGGAAACTGAGCGTAGTGGTAGAAGGGACTTTCATGCGCATGCGTGATTTTTTGCTGACCCGCAACACTGTCGGATGCATCTGTGGCTGCCAGAGAGCGAAGTGGTGTAACACGTGTTCGTTGCATTCTCCTTTTGCTCAAGATGACAGAAATCTTGGAGCAGCGATACTACATGAAGTTTTGTCAGAAACTTGGGGATACGCAAGCGGAAACAGTCCGCAAAATTCAGCAGGCTTTCGGCGATGATGCAATGGGGGTCACTCAAATTAAAGAGTGGTTCAACCTCTTTAAACATGGCCGTATATCAGTGGACAGTGAGCAGCGTTCCGGGAGACCGTCAATGCTGATGTCACTGAAAAAATGCAGACACTGATCATGGAGGACTTTCGTTTGGCCACCCGTAAAGTTGCTGATAAGGTTGAGAGCAGCAGAGGTTCCGCAAACACAATTTTAACTGAGGATTTTGGCATGCGAAGTGTGGTGGCAAAATTTGTGCCCAAGCTGCTTTTGCCGGAGCAGCAACAACTCCGCCTTGAGGTCGCGCAGGACATGCTGGAGTGCGCCAATAGGGATGCTGAGTTCCTGAAGACTGTGATCACTGGTGACGAGTCATGGGTGTACGGATATGACCCAGAAACCAAGGTCCAGGCGTCACAATGGAAGCATCCAACATCCCCGAGGCCCAAAAGAGCACAACAGGTTCGGAGCAATGTGAAGGTGATACTGACTGTTTTTTTTCAATTACCGGGGTGTTGTGCATCATGAGTACGCACCACTAGGCAAGGCTGTCAATAAGGAGTACTACCAAGAACTCCTCCGCCATCTTCATGATGCAGTTCGGCGCAAGAGACCGGAGCTGTGGGACGCACGCAACTGGCAGCTGCATCGTGACAATGCCCCAGCTCATTCATCACACCTGATCCAGAGTTTCCTGGCCAAGCACAGCATTCCACAGGTTTGCCAGGTTCCCTACTCTCCTGACATACCTCCTTGTGATTTCTGGCTGTTCCCGAGATTGAAGACACCACTAAAAGGCTGCCATTTTGACAGCCGTGAGGACATCATACAGAACGCGACAGTGCAGCTGCACGCCATTCCGAAAGAAGCCTTCCAGAATTGCTTCCAGTGATGGAAGGACCGCTGGGCTAAGTGTGTGCAGTCACAAGGGGCCTACTTTGAAGGCGATTAGGTATTGTAACCACCCAGATACAGAACTTTTTTTCCCGGCCCAAGGTCGGATACTTTTTGGACAGAGTAGTATGTTCTTTGTTCTAAATCTCTGGCACCATCTTGTTCAGATTTTTCTCACGTTCCAGTTTCTGGTTATAATTTCCCTGTTTCCTAATTCATACTTAAACCTTTTTCTACAATTCTGATCACCAGAAAGCAACCATTGCATATAAACCTCCTTTTTTGCATTCTTGTCAGTTGTCACTGTTACTGGATGGCCTGTTCACTTGTCATCTTCACCTCTTCTCTTTCTTTTAAAAAGCATGCTATGCCATTCAAAAACATGTAATCTTAAAAGGGTGAGCATATCATTCAATTTTTACATCTACCACATTTCAAACAAACAGCAAAAACGCTTCTTCTCATGAAGCCGTACAGTTCTACACCAAGTGAATATGCTGAAACATGCTTCAGCACACAATCTGGGGAAAGTTCATGAGTAAAAACCATGCATTGTTTGTGGGTGGAAGAATTAGTCTGAGAACTGCATTATCATTATTTAACAGTGATACCTCATATTTCCTGTCAAGAGCATACGCTATGCTGTATATGAAAAGTCATTAAATGAACACAGACAATTAAAAAAAAGTTTATACCAAATTATTATGTTGCATTAAAAATATATTGAAATCGGTACATTTTACAAAAAAATAACCTCTACTTGTGAAAGGCAAAATTTCTTTTACATTCAGAGAACTTAACACATCTGTTCTTCTGCTGCTGATGGTCTAAAACAAACATCTCTCTGTAGTAACTGTCTGACCTCCACACTTTGTACTAAGCAGGATGACCAGGCCAGCCAGCATCAAGATCTTAAGTGGCTAAGGACAAACTGTAAATACCTACTTCAGAACATGATAAATGCTATAGCTGGTGTCAGAAGTTGAATTGAAGGTGAATCCTGAACTGAAGGCAGTTTTGAAACAGTTAAAATAACTCAAAAGGGACACATGTGCCAGCAAAAAATAAAATAAAAAGGAGATTACCAGCAGCCAAAATCAGCTTGAAGTCAGTCAAGATAAACTGACAGTCTTTCAAGAATAACTGAAAAGCAAAATAAGTAATATAAAGGCTGCTCAGAGCAAATTCAAGGGAAAAATAACAGACACACTAGACAGACAGTTGGAGAGCAGGTCCAGCACATCTGTGAAGTCAGCAGTGAGCTGCAGGTAACATGAGCCATATGATGGCAGTGTGGAGACATTGGTCACCTCAGAAGAGACTACCAGCAGAGTCACGACAAGAAGCAACACCTTGAGAGGAAAATGACCAGGATTTAAGAAATGAGTAAAGGATGACATGAAGATGAAGGAACTGAACTGGCATCGTTAACCCTCACTTCACACTACATATACTAGCCAAGAAAAGCAAGAACTGTCTGATCACTGAGGGCATCACCATAGGACTGCACAAGAGGAAGCCAAGTCAGCTGCACATCCCAGGGACACCCTCCTTGTCTTGATGGATGTGTAGGGGGGGAGGCAGTGTGTGCCACAAATTTGGGTGCTCATCAAAAAAATCACGAATTTATCCTGGCACTGAACACTGCAAAACCTATGATGAGTTGAATCTGAACTGCAACTGGGCAAAAAAGAAGTGTTATTATGGCTTCCCACAGCCAAGATCCTCCCCCTTGATGCTGACCAGTGATGAGGTGATACTAGCTCTATGCAAGAGGGTGGTGACTACACTGATGAAAAGTCCCCTGGAGGTGACAAAGTGCCTTGTGTAACCCATCTTGAAGACATATCACCAAGAGGGCAGCCAGGGCATTGATTCAAGCTTGACAGGATGTACATGTTAGAGTCATAAATGTAGAGACCAAGGTCAAGTGTTGGCCAAAGGCACCACCCCAGGCCATTGCAAACCTGTCACATTTGGGGGTGCCTGTCAACAGTTCAGAACATCAAACCCTTGATCCACCTGAAAACAATGTGAAAGAAGTGCTGATGCAGCAACAAAGAGCATCTTCAGAAGGACATCTGGGTGTCAACAAAACACTGGATGAAGTCATACAATAGTCTTACTGTATGAAGCCACGGGAAGGATGTCCACCAGTATGGTGGCCCTGTGCCCTGCTGTTTGGGACTCCTTCAGACAAAATGCAAACTATGACTGGCTACATGGCACACCTCATGGAAAAGATATGGACAACCAATATGCCCATCAGCATTCAAAGATGGCCAATGACAGAATGAAAGCTCACTACAACCATCCAGCCAACACAGGACGAAAGCCAGGTTTGGCAGTACTGACCCAGACCATGGGAAAATCACCTAATCTGCAGACATCTTGGTAAGGCCATTACAAGATGATCACCTGGATCAATAATGTAGTCTACAGGATCCAGCATCATCCAAAGTTAAAGACGATACTGGTCCACCTGGACAGACTGGCCCCCACATCTAGGTGCTACTCAGAATGAGATGCCTTTGGAGGGAGCAAATAACAAAAGTTATTCCTGTGTATGAATTTTATGTTACCCAAGATTGGATATACACTGCAGCTGTAAGACCCATAATTACATACGGTGCCACAGTATGGTGGCCCAGAGTTAAACTCAAGACAAACAAGGCAGAACTTAGCAAATTTCAACGGTTGGCTTGCTTGGGTATCACAGGAGCAATTCGAACATCTCCAACAGCTGCACTGGAGACACTCCTTGGACTCCCCCCACTGCATATATAGTTGGTGGCAGAGGCCAGAGCAGGAATCTACCGTCTCCAGTGCAGTGATCAATGGAAACCTAAATCCAATAGTTCTGGACATGCATACATAACTCAGGACATGAAAAAAGAACCCATATTACAAATGGGGTCTGACAAAGTGATACTGAGACATGTATATGAAAAACCATTCAGTCAGATTTCCTGAGAGGAGTGAATGGGAAGATGGCTTTCGGCCTGATAGAAAGTGGGGGGGGGGGCTGATCTGGTATACAGAAGGTTCCAAGATAAATATGGGCACTGGAGCTGGTTGTGTTCTGCTATGGCATGAGGCGAAAACTTAGTTTCAGCCTTGGGCAGTACACGACAGTATTCTAGGCAGAAGTATATGCCATTAAGGCATGTATTATGGAGAATCTAGAAAGAACTACAGAAAGACACATCTACATTCTATCTGACAGCCAAGCTACACTTAAAGCGCTTGACAAACACCTGATCAACTCAAAATTGGTCTGGGATTGCCACCAAACTCTCATGGAACTGGCCAAACATAGCAGGGTACAACTGATATGGGTGCCAGGGCATGAGGGTATTGCTGGAAATGAAACAGTGGATCAATTGGCTAAGACTGGAGCTGAACATCCGTTCATAGGACCTGAACTAGCCTGTGGCATCTCTATAGGAGTTGCCAGAAAGGCAATCAGGGACTGGACAAATATGAATCACACGAAATACTAGGGATCCTTAACTGGACTCAGGCAAGCAAAGGGACTCATACAAGGACCCTCTACTAAAAGAGCGAAAGAACTGTTGAAGTTAAACAGGAACCAGCAACAATGGGTGGTAAGACTACTTACAGGACGCTGTCACCTCAAAGAACACCTCTTCAAATTGGGACTAAGTAACAGTCTAACTTGTGAGAGGTGTCAAGAAGAAAACGAAACAGCCACACATACCCTGTGCGAATGTGAGGCATTAGCTTATTTAAGATTGAGCCACTTGGGTCAATATTTTATGGAACCAAGTGACTATTTTGACATCTCCACGTACAAAATCCTACACTTAATTCGAGGTTTGTTGAGGGGATAATCATAAGGGGAGGCACAATAGATCACTGTGGTCGCGGTGCAAGGGCCAAGAAGGCCCACTCCTTATACATACATTCATTCATTCATTACCAATGATACCTTTACTTACTTTTTTGGTCCCTTAACAAAACACCAGTCAACACCAATAGCCTGTCCCAAAACTTCTGCTCCATTCAAAGCTTCTCTTGCCTGTTGTGCTTCTTTAAAAGTTTCATATTCCACCAAAGCATATCCCTTCAAAAATCCTGTTCGTCGATCCAAGTTGAGATGGATGTTTTTTATTTCTCCATATTCTGAGAATTTCTCATGGATATCATCTTCTTGGGCTTCTTCATGGACAGATGTGACAAACAAAATCCATCCTTCAACAGCTGCCAAAATTAAAACACAACTGGTTCTCAACAGGAATTTATGACCATATTAGCTGAAACATGTAGTGCACCAGTGATGTGAAAAATAATTTTTAATTAAAAAAACTTTAATTTTAAGATTTTAACCCAAGTTTGCTTGTAAGATGGTGAATAAGTGAAAAAGAAAACTGATACCCATCTACCAAGGGGGCATGTGGTAGCGCAGTTGGTTGATGCACTATCCTAAAGGCCCAAAGGTCACTGGTTTGATTCCCAGCGAGGTCACTGGATGTTTCAATTGACCTAATCCCTTCAGCCACACTATAGCCCTGGAGTCAACTCAGCCTCTAACAGAAATGAGTACCAGGAATTTTCCTGGGTATAAAGGGAGACCAGTGCATAAGACTGACAACCTCACCACTATCTGTGAGCCCAATTATCTAGAAAATGTGAGACACTTGATGTCTCTTAACCCTATGGCCTCCACAGCCTGTTACAGGGGTAGCTTTACCTATCACCCATCTACAAAACCATACAGCATTACATCCTATAAGACCATAACCTCTAAATTTTACAAATTTAGTTTTTACAGCCTGACTGCAATTTCACTTCAGCATTACATCCTATAAGACCATAACCTCTAAATTTTACAAATTTAGTTTTTACAGCCTGACTGCAATTTCACTTCTGAACCTGTGGAACAAAATGGTATGAAAGTTTACTAATGTACTTTTTAATCATGAGAGGAAGGGGTGGAACTAAGTCCCTTGTACTGTGGCCACTTCTGGCCTACTGTACCAGCCCCAGATGATAGGTGAGGGTGATTGTGGAATGAAGATTGGCAGGGGAAACCGAAGTACTCGGAGAAAACCTGCCCCAGTGCCACTTTGTCCACCACAAATCCCACTTGACCAGATCCAGGATCGAACCCAGGCCGCCGCAGTGGGAATCCAGCAACTAACCGCTTGAGCTATGGCACGGCCAAGGGATATATGGTTTCTAACTGCACTAAGGTAGAAAGATGTCCTACTGAATTCATCTTTCCAATTGTGTTTTCCCTAGGTACAAGGCAAACATGCTTCTAATCTCACTTATAAGTAAAGTAAAGCTATCCCTGTAACAGGCCATGAAGGCCCATAGGGTTGTGAGACGCTGAGGGTCCCACATTATCTAGACAATCGGCTCAAAGATGGCGGTAATGTTGTCAGCCTTACATGCCAGCCACGCTTTACTCCCCAGGAAAATTATTTATTTAATTCCTGGTACTCATTTCTGTTAGAGGCTGAGTGAACCCCAGGGCCATAGTGGGCCAGAAGGACTAGGTCAATTGAAAAAAATCCAATGACCTCATCGGGATTTGAACCTGCGACCTTCCAACTAGTGCCTATAGAAGACATTTTCTTCTTGCCATGTTCACGTACTGTTGGCTTGTCATTTACAACTCTGATGGTTACTTCAGTCACCTACTGTACAAAATTCTTCCTCAAAATATTCACAAGTATTCCACAGAACAAATAGATGTCATACAAAGCAGAATTTGAAACAAGACTAGTAGCTTTAAATGAAACCCAAACTTTGGGGATAGGTTAAACACTGGGAAGATTAGAATAGTTTGTCAGATATAATAAAAGCAGTGTAAATTATGGTGCATGTCCCTTAAGCTTAACTGAGCCAAGCCAAGCCAACCTGTGAGGAGACCACTTCACTCTGAAAACACCACCCTGGAATGTGCAGGCAGAATATGTGCAATAATTTGCACCATAACCTGCAAAACTAGACTAACAGTTTTTTTTTTTTATCGTAGCAACGTCCACACGACAAACATAATTGTGAACATCAAAAACAGCGACAGTGTTTCCATAATTATAGCAAGTGCCTCTGATGATGGTTGTGTCAAACCGAAACATGTAAGGCAGAAATAATAATAAAAAGTGACCTACAAATTGTTACACTCGACAGACTTTCTATTAACTTTGTGATTAACTTTAGATTAACAGCCCAAACTCAGTAAGGTTCAAGTGGTCACTGAAAAAAAAATGTTTACTGTCACAAAAATTTTAATGAGTCCTATAACACAAGAAAAGATAAGGAGATAAAACCCACGGTATGGCGGTAACCAGGATGTTTGAAAAGAGGCCAATTACACTTACATCTTTGGGGTCCTGGTTCCTCATCCCCATCTACTTCCATTGACTCATATTCTTGAATGTCTTCATGGGCAGAATTTTCTGTTCCAAATCCTCTACCCTTCCTCTTCTTTGCTTTCTCTTTCAGACGAGCAATTCCTTCTGTAACATATCACTAAAACTGTAACACATCCAAATTACAACTAAAGAATGAAACACAAAGAGTACCCAAAGTGTACTATGTACGTATTTATATTGTGGTGGCTGGTGTCAAACTCCAACCACTTTACAAATTTGGGAATAATACCTTCTTCTCAACCAAGCTATACTACCCTTCTTATAAGCAACAGGATCTACAAAATCTGAGTTCCCCCAAATCCACAAATTTTCACTAAAATTTCAATTAATGAATACAAATATAAATATAATATATAAATATAAAATATGACAAATATATCAGAGACAAAACAGCTAAAGATGATATTACAGATATTTTTGGTCCTAGTACAGTTACTTATTAATACAGGCAATCAGCTGAGCACCTCAAATCCAGTAAAATGTACACCCATCACGTAGGATGACAGAAAAGACAAAGTTAAAACAACATGACAAGTTATACATTCAAAACCGTACAAAAGGTATCAAGATCACTGTCTCTGTCATCCTTGCATTGAAAATATTCATTTATAGAATAAAAAGGATTATACAAAAACTTCTTCAATATGGATTTGAAACATCTCTCATCATTGGCCAAATTTTTTATTGATTGAAGAAGATGATAGAAAACTTTAATTCCTGATATATACGCTCCTTTGTGAAATTGTTATAATCACTATATGCACATGTAAGTCAGTATGTAATCTAGTGTTATATTTATGAATCTCATTATTTAAGTTAAATAAACATTTATTATTAACTGTATATAATAGTAAGGTATATATACTGGGAATATAACATTATTTCCAATTTCATAAAAATTTCCTTACATGAATCTCTTGGTTTAGCATTCGTTATATTTCTAATGATTCTCTTTTGCAAAATAAACATCTTCTTAGTTACTTCTCAGTTTACCAAAAATACGTGGAAAATGTTATTCTCGCTGTTCAGCTGTGCGAGGTTAGAAGCAATGCACGATTTATAACTGCAATAATAAACTGGTGGCTTCCTTAGTTCAGCTAGTTGCTATACAGCAATCTTTTACCAGTAAACCGGCTTCCATATAACCGTAACAGCCATATACTTACGATCACCTTCCTCATCCACCTCGAATTCTTCTGCATTATCTATATCCAGAACGTCAGCCATTTTTACTATTTAATATCCAAATTACCGAATATGATACAAGACATTTACTTAAATATCATCAACGATCATCAACTGTTCAGCAACACCGCCAGTGCCTCCAACTGCTCCAACTCTATTTCACGCCGCCTTCTATCGCACTTCCTTTCCGGCTTCCTTTCTTTCTGACGGTTGCAAGCCTACCGACGGATTTCATTCAATTTTTCGTTACGCTACTCCCCACGTGTCGCGCTGCATGTCAAGGATAACAGCAAATTAGTTGACCAAAGGATTGTAATGTTACTTCTATTGTGAAAATGGTAAATAATCATGCACTATAAGTTTAGTTTCACTTATATAGCACGTTTAATGTAAATTGTGAAGTTTACAATTCAAAATCGCATGAATTGTAGTCAAATACTTTCGTGCATAGGGACATAACCTATACATGGGTCGGGCATTTTCTGTGTATTAGAGCAAATATTACAGCGGCATTGAAACAACTTTGCTGCACCTTACTTGTTTTTCGTAGCCACAAAAAAATGTGCATTTTTGACTCGATGTGGCGTATTGGAATAGACTTTTACATTTTTCCATGTAATAAACTTCCCCAAGTAGTAATACAATTGTGAATGAACAACTAATTACAGAAAAAGAAATCAAGGATGGGGCGTTGGTACTTACGCGTTGAGTGCAGTAGGTTTGATCTTCCAGGTTATTACTGTTAATTTTTAATACTTATTTCAGTATTTTGCTGCAATTCATCTGACAGTAAAAAGGTATTTATAATGCGAAAGAAGATTATTAGAAACATAATGGGTGTCAAATCCCGAAACTCTTGTGTAGACCAATTTAAGAGACTACAGATCTTAACTCTTCCATGTGAATGTATGTATTCATTGATAAATTTCATCACAAATAATATTGAACTTTTTCAGACCAGTGCACATGTACCCAGTCTTAACACAAGCTCTATAATCATAAACCAACTACTAATATGTCATACTTTTAGAAAAGTGCATATTATACAAGGATGAAAATCTTCAATAAACTGCCATTGGATATCAAAAGTCTTATGAAGAAAAAGGCATGATTTAAAATAGCACTAAAAGATACTTAATCACACACTCGGACTTCCCTGTTGACGAATATCTGTAGTCTGAATAATGACTCATCCATGTGAGAGTTGTGCATGCAGCATAAGTTTACAATATTAGATTTAAAGGTTTTATAAATATCATGAGTTGACTGTGTGATGTACGTGAATGGATGTGTCTCAGAATAACCTCATGTGTAACCACTGTTGTTATTGCTGTTTTTAGATATTCTTTGTCAGTTATTTGACTGGCTTTGAATCTGTGGAATACAATGTAATGTAAATATAAAAAGTAAAATGGACATAATAACACACATTGCAAGTAAAAAACAATGTTTAGTTACTGGAAAAATGCTTATACGGAGAGAACTGTTGAGTCCTTTATCATTGCTGGAGGATGAGGTTACTTGATGATGCAATACAAAAAATCAGTCACTGCTGTCTGCCATGTATGTTAAATAGATAACTTCATTTTGTTTGTCATCTACTGTTGTGTTAAGAGTTCTGCCATTTGGGATATAATGCCATGTAGTCCTTTAAAAGTTAACAGATGTTTTGGAGGAACATGCTGTTTCCATCTTCAGGGTTGAAGAGTAAGACAAACAAGAAATCACCATGAAATGAGCAGCACACAGAGCTATGCTGGTTTATTGCCTGGTGTACTCCCCCTGAAATAAAGTGTCTGATTTATCCCAGAGCACCACTTGCTGCCTGATTCATGCTGATTTCTTGCTTGGCTTGCTCTTTAACCCTGAAGATTGAAGTAACATCGTCCAAAACATCAGTTGACTTTCAACAGGCTACACAGCATTATGTCCCAGAATATAGAACTCATCATAATCACTGCTGTAAGAACCTCAGATTGTATCTACTGCTGTGCTGTCAGAGTGTGTTGGAACTTTCAGTTAAAAATGAATAGATCAAATGACTAACTAACTCCATGAAGCAGTCTTTCTTGAGAAATAAAAAATTGCTTATATATTCAAGAAATTCCCTGTATTTTATGGAATCTGCTGGTTATTACTATGTTCACAGGATCCTGCCATTGGTCCCTATTCTGAGCCAGATGCATCCAGTCCATCACCCTCCCACTTGATTTCTTCAAGGTCCATTTTAATATTATCCTCCCTTCTAGACCTAGTCTTCCAATTTATCTCTTTCCTTCAGGATGATTGACCAAATTAATGACTGAATCATGCTGCACCTAAATAAGACATAATTATACTAATTTCATTTTTAAAATTATAGTATTGTGTTCTGGGTAACCTTGTACTTAGGAAACCCAGATAATGAAACCAAACATTACTTGCAGACTACACTGATGAAAGATGTTGTATTAACTGTGAATCACCCAAAGGAACTTCTGCTGCAAAAACATGCTGATTACATTGCAGCTTATGTAATTAACAAAGATGAATATGTAAGTAAAACTTACAGAATTAATTTATAAACAGGACTTTTTAATAAACACACGTAATGAATTTTCATTTCATGCATCCTGTTGTGTTATAATATACAACTTCTTTATTAAGACCATCACAACACAACTATATCAAGGTCAGTGTCCGGTATATATGCAACTTGCTTGACTAGCATATATAATTTTCATTTCATGCATCCTAAGGGCCATGGGGATCCGTTGTGCTGACCATGTGACACCATCTAACTTCACCGACAAGGTGTGGTCACTCGGTCGGTATAGTTTGCTTACGGACTACAGGCCATGGAGAATCAAGCAAGTTGCATATATACCGGACACTGACCTTGATATAGTTGTGTTGTGACGGTCTTAATAAAGAAGTTGTATATTATAACACAACAGGATGCATGAAATGAAAATTATAAATGCTAGTCAAGCAAGTTGCATATATACCAGGCACTGACTTTGATATAATTGTGTTGTGACGTCTTAATAAAGAAGTTGTATATTATAACACAACAGGATGCATGAAATGAAAATTATAAATGCTAGTCAAGTAAGTTACATATATACCGGGCACTGTCTTTGATGTAGTTGTGTTGTGACGGTCTTAATAAAGAAGTTGTACACGTAATGAACATGGCTTTCTTGTTAAGTCCACAAGCTCATTTTCTGTACATGTGATGCAGTTCAGTGCTGACCTGTTACTACATTCCTCATCAGTATGGGTTGGTGTGACATGCAGAAGAGAATGACAGAATTAAACCATCAAGACAAAAATTTTATATAGAAATGGAACGTGAAACACTTGAAGACTATGAACATAAGTTTAACATTGGACTGGTAATGAATAAAACCAGTATATACTGTTTGTAAGGAAAGGCTGAAACTGCAGCGAGTACTTCAGCTTTTCTTCTTTCAGATGCTCCATATATCTTAGTAATGTTATAGAGGCTGAAACTCAGGAGTGGCCAATGATACTGCATCTTGTTTTCTGATGAATGTATTGTGAAAATAGAATTTCACAGTATTACAAAAATATTTTGTTGTTTGAAATGTGTTATTATATAATATATCCACAGAACTCTTGGGATCCTTTATATTGTAGAAGTCCAAGGTTCTGTTGAATCCCTTTTGTGTGTGTTCTTCTCATACTGTATTTTCTGTCAATCCATATCTTCAAAAATAAGTAAGGATCATTTGAAATATTTCATGTTAAGTTTTCTTACACTGTATAATCATATTTCTTCATTTGCTTCAGAGCTGCATGACTTCCTTTGCCAAAGGTGAAATATAACTTGCTATACAGGCCATTAGCCAAAACAGGAAATTTGACCTTCAACATTTTTTATCATGAAACAAGAGAAATTGTGCAGGTCAAGCTTCCTGCTTCCCATATGAGCTATAAAGCTGTTTCCTTTCAGATTTTATTACCTTTCCTCTTGTATATGACATGTTATTTGTCATAAAGTTGATTCATTTTAGTTTTCTCATGTGAAAACAGGAATACTGTATGACAGAATACCTGCGGATGTCAGGTATTTATTGGGGTCTCACTGCCATTGAGCTGATGGGACATTTGGAGAGAATGAACAAACAGGAGATTCTGGATTTCATAAAACAATGCCAGGATGACTCTGGAGGTGTAAGTGCCAGCATTGGCCATGACCCTCATCTGCTGTATACCCTCAGTGCAGTACAGGTGAAGTTGCATAATGGATGTTCTTTCATTACACCACACTTTGGCTAAGCTCTGTGTTTGCTAATGTAATTGCCATTTCTTTTGCAGATCCTGATCATGTATGATGCGTTGGATGTGATAAATGTAGACCGTATTGTGCAGTATGTCAAAAGTCTACAGCAGTCAGATGGAAGTTTCTATGGTGATAAATGGGGCGACGTGGACACGCGTTTCTCATTCTGTGCTATTGCATGTCTTTCATTGCTGGTATGGCATATTTATTTGTAGAATATTATTTAGTTCAGTATAATGTAAAATAAAAAGTAAAGCTAGCTCTGTAACAGACCGTGGCAGCCCATGTGGTTGTGAGATGTTGAGGCTGCTACATTTTCTAGACAGTCAGCTCACAGATGGTGGTGAGGTTGTCAGCTTTACATGCCAGTTGCCCTTTATTTTCAAGGAAGATTCCTGGTACTCATTTCTGTTAGAGGCCGAGTCGACCCCAGGACCATAATGCGGCTGGAAGAATTAGGACAATTGAAAAATCCAGTGGCCTCACAGGGAACCCACGACCTTCCGACTTGTAGCATAGTGCCTCAACTATCTATGCTATTGCGTACCCCGAGTATAATGAAATCAACTAAATTAATTAAGCATTACCCATACACTATCGTGAGACCTTATGAATTACTAGCATCGGATTAGAAAATTTTTAAGGATCCAAAAATATTAATTTGGTTATAAGAAATCCACAAGCGAAGAGACCGTGAGAACCAGTAAAAGCAACAAACCCCTGCTTGTCCCAGCTCCTCCCCCCCCCTCCGACACTACTTTTTTCAGTTGTATACTTGCCCTTCCCCTTTCCTTCACTGCTCTCACATAGCTGTGTATATTTCCATCACCAGTCTGCTTTTACTGGTTCTCATGATCTCTTCGCTTGCGGATTTCTTATATTTTTTCTTCTACCCTGAAGATGGAGGTGATACGTTCCTCAAAAATGTCGGTTAACCCCACATAGACACGGTGCCAAATCCCAGAAGACTGCGTTCTTCAATGTACTTACCTTTTTTGTAGTTATCTGCTTAATGTATATACAGGGTTCACCCTTATATCATGTAACTGATTCTCGCCTTTGTATGATACTTCTTGAAGCACCTGAAAATTCATAGTCCTACGTCACATATCTTGCACTTCAGTTGCCTTTAAATTTCATCATCTTCCAAACAACGTATCATTGCCATATTATGATGATATGAAACTACAATATTTGAACTCACCATGAACTCACAGAAGACTGAATGCACTCTGTATCTCAGCTATGATGCATATTTTTGATTATGACTATAGAAAGGGCAATATTTTATCTCAAATGCAATGGAAGGGCTGGCACTGAAGAAGGGAACAAAGACCCTGTAACCTTCCTTGAATTGCAATGCTTTCACTTTTCTGTCCTTTAGTCAAAAGACTCAAATTTCTGAAGAGTGCAACAAAGATAAACTTGCCAGTAATGAACCAAATGATTTTATTGCTTCCAGCTGGTTTATGGCACCAGAGAATGTGAACATATTTCAAGTGCTAGAAGCAGGAGTGATTTTATAACACAGAACTACTCTATGAAGAAGCAGGGGACAATTTTTACAGTATGCATCAAAATTACAAGAAAAAATTAAAAATAGAGTATAACTTATTTCTCTGAATATTTTCAAATTTTACGTTGTACTATGCAGCACCATGTTCTTTGCTGATGAAAAGAAAGTTAATTCCATTCAGTTATCATAAAAATTGTATTAGGTACAGCATTTTTAAATACAATGTAAGCGTCCTAACAGGAACTGACATTTAAACATGCACCAGCAGTGGGCATTTAAATAAACTCCGGCTATCTCAAGCTACCACCATGTTAAAAAGTCTGGTGTTTAAAGGTTAAAGGGCTTGGTAAACTGAGATTGTTATTTCTAATGCAAAATATTACAGTTGATTTAATAATATAGTTGCAGTTATCATTAATCAGTTTAATGAAATGTCGCTGATGTTTAAAAAATTGTAATATTTAAATTTTAACAGGGAAAATTAGAAGCAATAGATGTTGAAAAGGCTGTGGAATTTGTCATCTCATGCATGAATTTCGATGGTGGTTTTGGATCACGACCTGGATCAGAATCACATGCTGGTCTCATCTATTGCTGCCTTGGGATGCTTTCTATTACAGGTATAATAGAGCCATTGTTATTGATGTTTCTTTTGTTCTGAGATCAGTGCCTAAGCTATCAGAATATATTCTCCAATTCATAGATACCATTTTGTTTCACAGATGTGATGATGATATGTGGGTAGTGCAAATTTTCTTAGAGTTTTATCACCCCAGATTACATATGTACCAAGAACAATGTCTCTGAAGGACTGAAGTCATAAAATTACAACAGAAGAATAACACAATCAATATTTCTACATGACAATCCAATTAAACTGATTCATGCAAATTTAACCTGTTGCTCATAACAAAATGAAATGCAAGATGTCCATAGCCTAACTGCAAGTACTTGGGATCATTTCAAGTTGAAAAGTTCTAATGAACATGGGTCCAATCTGTAACGATTTGTGAAGGAAATGAGGTTGAACATTCTATTGTATTTATAATTTTTACATTGTTTTCTTAATTTTAGGTTACATTTTATTATTAGTAGTAGTAAATTATTATTATTATTATTATT